TGCACTCATCTCTCCAGGGACCCATCTGTGGACCCATCCATCCATCAGGCACCCATCTCTCCAGGGACCCATTTGTGGACCCATCCATCCATCATGCACCCATCCATCCATTATGCGCCCATAAACCCATTCATCCATGCACACATCCATCCATCATGCACCCATCCATCAGTACACACATCCATTCAACTTTTCATTCCTTCAAGTTCTCTCTACACACGTGCCGAACACTAGCAGAGTGGGGGATGTAGTGTACTTGAGAATATCCACAGTGGAAGGGTCTGTGTGGTAGTGCACCCATCTAGCCCATGTGTGCATTTGTGATCACCCAGCACCCTTTAGACCCCGACAAAGTGTACACATTAATACTGTGTGTCTACAGTCCCCAGGCTACACTGCGCGCTTACTATGCTGGCTTGATCACTGTCACAATCCCACTCTACGATGGATGTCACAATTGCTTCTGATAACAAACAGGAAAAGCAGGATGGCCGACACAAGGTCTTACGGCTGGCACACGGCAGGCCAGGAGTCTGAACCAAGCCTTTCATCAGGAAGTAAAACCCAGAACTGCCCCGACTACTGCACCCTGTACAGGGAGACTTCAGTGTGTGGTGACTGAGATTACAATAAACTAAACAGCGTGTCCAACTGCTTCTGGGTGTGTAGGCAGGAAGCAACTGCCATAAACTAAGACGGAGGACTCACGGTTCTAACCAAGACAGCTTCATCTGAGCATATTCACTGAAATGTGAAATATAACCTTCTAAGGACCTCTGAAAATGTCCCCGTCACCGCAGAGCCACTGGAGATTAAACAGGATTTCTGTCTCTCATGCATGTTCTCACTAGTCTGTGACAGTGGAAAGGAGAAAGAGACACGAGAATGCCCGTGTGTATGAAAAGAACACTATACTGAAAGCAATGGGTCCAAGCTGTGTGACCTCAGACGCCAGTTAACCTCTCTGAGTCAATTTCCTTGTGTCAGCAATGAAGAGACGTGATGGAGCTATCTTAATGTAGCTTTTTAAGATGAATGAATGCTGTCTCGAAACAACAACAACAACAACACAAATATTAATGAACTTTGCCAGTACACTGCCATCACTGGCTATCATGTAAAGGCCATTCCCTTTAAGTTCCCGTTTATAAAATAAGGTCTTTCATGCCAGATTTGGGTATGAGTATACTCTGGAAATCATGGTTATCATATACAGAAGCATTCCATTGGCCACTGAGACATTGGCAGACCCTGTTCCTTAAATCTAACACTGCTCTCCGGTGCTGGAGTCTCCGTTGAAATGTCCCCAGGTAGGATGGTCATGCGGAGCTGTGTTTTCTTCTGCCTCCCACCATCTGTCACGTCAGGTTCACAGGGGAGCCTCTCCCCCACGGGTCACAAGGCTTTCTCGCTTCCCTGTACCCTGCTCTTTCTGTTCCTCAAAGCATTCAGACACCGGATTGCAGGGCTGGGGACCCTGGGGCCTGCCAGCACAGATGGAAGCCATATCACTGCAGTGTCCCAAAGCCCCAAGCTAGTGCTGAATGGAGGCCAGAGAGGGCTCCACCTGTAAATGCGTGGACAGCAGGGGCTGCTTGCCAGCGATAAGGATGAGTTTCCGACCCAGGGAAACACCCCACCCAAAACATCCCCGCAGGACCACTCCCCACGGCACCTGCGTGATCCTCCGGCTCATTTGATCCATCACTGATTAAATTCTTCCCATGTGTTAAGCTCTGCATTTGCAGGACTGAATAACCTCTGCCCTACATACTCAGTCAAAATTCTAGGGCTCAAGCCGGGGAGACAGACAGACAATAGGAACAGACAATTACAAAACACTGCAGTAAGTACAAAATGAAGAAATCAAAACTAGGCATGGTGGTGCATGCCTTTATTCCCAGCTTTCAGGAGGCAGAGACAGGATGATCCCTGAGTTTGAGACCATGGTTTAAGCAAAGTGAGTTCCAAGACAGCCATGGCTACACAAAGAAACTCTTGTCTTGGAAAAAGAAGGAGGAGGAAGAGAAATCAGCCATGGTGGCCAGAGCCTGTAATCACTGTACTAGAGAGGCAGAGGCAGGGAGATGGAGAACTTGAGGACCCTCTGGAGAATGAGGATGTGGAAGCTAGCACAGGAGAGCTTAGCAGTGTGGTCCTGCCTGACTCAGGGGCAGCCTAGTCAGATGGGGGAGATGTTCCCGCAAAGATGTAAGGAGGGAGCTCAAGGTTAGTGGGAGCTGTGTGAGAAAGGCATTCCAGGACCACAGGTACGGCAGGCCTGATGGCATTCCCGTGGGGTGTGGAGACAGGAGGGATAGAATTTGACTTGGAACTAGCATTCGACACCCAAAGGGTCTTGTGAATGGAAGCACCCAGCCTACTGCTTGAACTTTGTCCCCGAGGTGTGGAGGAGCAACACCTCAAAGGTTCTAAGAACCAGTGGCTACATTTCTGCATCTTCCATTCAAGGACCGTCTTCGGGGGTGATTATAGGACATCCAAGAGCTGCCTGGCTGCCGAGCTGGGCTGGTGCCACCCTGCTTGACTCATCATCAGAGGCCAGTGCTGAACTGTCTGCCTCCTGCCTCTAGACTCCCTGCTCATGCTGTCCTCATACGGTGACACAGACACAAAAGGACTTGGTCACGGGAACTTCTTGGAAGCAGCTAGAAGTACACCCTGAGCCATGAGCAGGACCTGCAGTGGGGCACTGGCTGAGAGGCAGGTCTTGGAACAGAAGCACGCACGCAAGCAAGCACGCACGCACGCACACGCACGGCAGCCTGCTGCAGTGGCCTAGAGGCACCTGCATTTCTGCCTCCCCCTCCCCCTTTCCTTCCCCCTTCAGTGTTCTTTGGCTCCCTTGCTGACTTCAAGGTGGGCACTGTGGAGCCCACCATCTTACAGGGAAAAGCAACCTCGGTTCTCAGCTTTGGCCACTTTCCAACAGTGTCGGAGTTGAACTTGTGTGTCTGTTTGTTTGTTTGTTTGTTCTAAGTCTCACGTAGTCCAGGCTGGCCTAGAACTCACTCCCGCGGCCTGAGAATGACCTTGAACTTCTGACCTGAATGCTGAAATTGTACGCACGAGCCCCATTCTATGCAGTGTTGGGAATAAAACACAGGGCTAAGTGAATGCCAGGCAAACACTCTACCCACTGAGCCACATTCCAACACTCTGGAACTTTCCAGAAGCCAAGACCCCTCACAGCTCCAGCTGCCATTGGGAGCTATTCTCTCAGTTTTCCACCTGGATCTCTCAGCCTCATCCGATTACTCCACCCAGGGTCTCCACAGCCTCATTGTCAAACCCTGTTCCCTTATATGACTCCTTAATAACAGGAAGTCTCCCTGATGAGTCCTTGCCCTGCCCCTCCCTCCCATGACTCCTCTTTATTCTGAGTCCTTGGTTCCAGGGCTTAGGATACAGTATTAAGTATTAGCTTACCTGCCCCAATCATTCCCAAGCCATGATCCAAGAATCTGCCACGCCCATCTCATACAATGCCAGGCTGGTATTTCTTCTTCCTCCTCCCTCTCCCTCTTCCTCTCCTTCCTGAACATGAACATACCTAATCCTTCCAGTTTCGGCACAAATGCCAAGCAGACCCTACAGCTTTCCCCTATCACCTTACCGATGGATTAAATCCACCAGAATCCTGTTTACCTTGGTTAAATGATGTGTTTTTGTGACCAACACAAGAGCAGCTAGTGCTTAAAAGTCCTGCACCTCTGGAGAGCAGAACACAGAGTAGCTTAGCCCCTCTCCCTTGCCCCATCATCCTGTTATTATCATCCTGCAGTCCTGGTCCTTGTCAGTCAACAGCGAGTCTAGAGGAAGCAGGATTTGAATGCACACAGGCGGGCAGCAAGTGGTCATCAGGTGTATTCAGAATTCTCATGGCTTCACCGTCTGTATGTTCATCCCCTCCCGATGCTAACGAACTCCTTGGTGAGAATGGACTAGGTTACTGCTTTCTTCACAGGCCCGGGGAACATAAAGAACTCGGGTTGTAGGGGTGCACTACAATTTTAGATCTGCATCCATATTCACATGTCAGTAACTCTTTTCACTGGCCTGACCTCACTGGCCTGGCCTCACAGGCCCCAAGATCAACAAACTGCTGGACAGATGTAAGAAGGTAATATTGGTGCAGACTGCCTGAAACCTTCCTGGCCAAGACATGGTAGCCGGAAATTGATAGAGAAACAACCCACACCTTCAGGCGGAGCCACCTGAAAACCTGAAGGGTGGCCATCAGGAATCAAAGGCTGTGGACATGCAAACCTGGAAGGCTGGGGGGAGATCAGAGAGAGGCAGGATCGGGTGTTGCGGCAGAGTCCTGGCAGAGGAGAGTCAGTCAGCAGGTTCTGCAGGGCCCATAGAGGCCTTTCGGAGCGCTTGATCCCTGCCACCGGACAGACCCAACACTGTGAAAGGTCACATGATTGCCAATGGTCTGATAATCTACAGTTATAAAGAGTCAGGACAAACTAGTTTGTGCCTCCTCCCTGGTTACTGCCCCACTGAGCTTCTCAAAGTCCGCGCTCTCACAAGCTTTTTCCTAGCAGAAGGGGCAGTGGCTTTCTAGCCTAAAGACCAGCTCACCTTACCAACTTGGGGGGGGGGGTCTTCTGCAAGCTCCTAGGCCTGTAAAATGGGGTGAACTTGCCCATCGCCCAGAATAAATGCTGTTGAGAGGACAAGGGCGCGCCTCGGAAGCTTGAGCTTCCCGCGATCTGTCCGGATCCCCGAGTGCTGTCTCCAAGTTCATCTCATCTACTACCCAGGAAACCAACCAGACACTGCAGGCGTCTGCGCCCACAAGGAGGAAGGGCCATCTCCCCAGGGGACCTCCCGCCACTGCGGCTTAAGTGGCGACTCCCACCGGCAGACTGCCTGGCGGGGTGGGGGGTGGGGGATCTCAACCTGGGGTCCTCTGTCCCGTCCGTCTCCCACCCCCCATTCCGCTTACCCCGGGGCCGAACCCTGCTTACCTGCGGCTCCAGCAGCCCGCGCTGCTCAGCATTGAGAGGCGCGGGGCGCGCAGCGCGGAACGCGGAAAACACGGGGATGCGGTGGCCGGGGCTGTATAGGGTGGCAAAGCGCTCGGAACCCGCGAAGCGCTGACAGATCCTCACGTGCGCCTCGGTCTCCAGCCCGGCGGGCGGGGTCCCCGCATAGAAGAAGCGGTCGCACTCACCGAAGCCTGTTTGATGCGGGGTCAGCAGCCGGGCCTGCAGCAGCCCCGCCAGGGCCAGGAGACCGCCCAGCGCGAGCCAGCGCGCACAGCCCATGACGGCCTC